TTTAATTTATTTATTCTATGTTATATGGCTAATATCCACTTATAAGTGAGTATATACCATGCGTGTCTTTCAGCTTCTGGGTTACCTCATGCAGGATGGTCTTTTCTAGTTCCCACCATTTAACTGCAAATTTCATGATTTCCTTGTTTTTAATAGCTGGGTAAAATGTATCACAATTTTTGTAACCATTCTTCCTTTGAGGCACATCTAGGTTGTTTCCAGTTTCTGGCTCTTACAAATAGAGCTGCTAAGAATATAGTTGAGCAAATGTCCTTGTTTTATAGTTGAGCATACTTTGGATATATGCCTAAGAGTGGTATAGCTAGACCTTGAGGTACCACTACTCCTAATTTTCTGAAAAAGCGCCAGATTGATTTCCAAAGTGGTTGTACAGGTTTACATTCCCACCAGCAATGGAGTAGGGTTCCTCTTTCTCAACATCCTTTCCAGCAGGTGTTGTCACTTGGGTTTTGATCGTAACCATTCTGATGAGTGTAAGGTGAAATCTCAGGGTTATTTTGATTTGCATCTCCCTGATGGCTAAGGATATTGAACATTTCTTTAAGTGTTTCTCTGCCATTCGCTATTCCTCCATTGAGAATTCTCCATTTAGCTCTGTTCCCCATTTTTAAATTGGATTACTTGGTTTGTTGGTATATAATTTCTTAAGTTCTTTATATATTCTGGATATTAGCCCTCTCTCAGATATAGGTGTTCCAATCTGTAGACTGTCAATTTTTTCAGCTGGGGTCTTGGCTTTGGGTATACATGCAAGTTTTTGTTGTAATTCAGTTGCTTATTATTACAAACCCCCCTGGGAGACAAGAAGGTACACATATTATGATTTTTAAATTATGCCTTCTAATCATTAGCTTAGCAAAATAACATTTTTGCTCTGTATGTTTTCTTATAGATTCTGTTTATGAACATATTCAAAATAAACTAGAATAAAATCTTTAATAACACTTTGCAGACATACTTTCACATTAATACTATACATAGTTATCAATTATTTATCTCTCTATATGTACATGTACACAATTAATTATTAAATTTCTATCTATGTATATGGCTTGAATTAGATTATAACTTCAAAACTTTTATTGCATATATTTATGTACTTATATTTATGTATCTGTTCAGAACATGACACATAAGAAGAGGCTAGAAAACAACTTTCATGAGTTTATTTTCCCTTTTAACCATGTGGGTTCCAGGGACAGAACTCAAATCATCAGGCTTGGTGACATGTACATTTACCCACTAAGCTATCTCACTGCCTCCAGGTTATCATTTATGCACACATATGCAATACAAATATCTTGATTATATACTGTCAGAAACACTTTATTTTTCCAGTTCATATATCAAAATTAACCTCTTAAAGAGCTATACTTCAGAATCCTCATCTATTATCTATCAACTGAAATCATACTTTACCACACCATAATTTTTTCATGGCATTTTTTACTTCTGCATTCCTCAGAGTATAGATAAGAGGGTTGAGCAAAGGTGTCCCATTTGTATAAAATACAGCTACCATCTTGTCTTTTGGAAAAATGGTTGGTGGTCGTGTGTATATAAATATACAGGGACCAAAAAATATGATCACCACAATGAAATGAGTAGTGCATGTTGACAGGGCCTTTTGTCTTCCTTTTGCACTGTGGTTTCTCAGGGAGTATAAGATGATGATATAGGAAATAAGCATAAGTATGAAACTTAACATGCATATTGCACCACTATTAGACACAACTAGCCAATTTATCACATAGGTATCCATGCAGGCAAGTTTCGGCAAGGGATGCAAATCACAGAAATAGTGATCAATTACATTTGGGCCACAGAATGGTAATCTTAAGGCCAAGAAAATTTGTGCTGAAGAGTGGATCCAAGATTCCACCCAGGCAAGAATCACTAGTACACTGCAGATACACTGGCTCATTGTATTTGTATATCTTAGAAGCTTACAGATTGCAACATAATGGTCAAAGGCCATGAAGATGAGCACAAAAATCTCCATGCACCCAAAAAAGTGAACTGCAAAGACCTGAGTCATACATTCATTGTAGGTAATAATTTTTTTTCTGAGAGAAAATATCCATAATCAGTCTAGGGGCTGTAGTTGTAGAGAAACAAGCATCAGCAAAAGACAAATAGAAGAGGAAAATATACATGGGACCCTGAAGAGTCTGACTTAACTTAATGGTCACCACAATAAGAAAGTTCACTATTAGAGTCTGAAGGTAAAGTATCAAGAATAGTCCAAATAGTGCCTTCTGTTTTTCTGGATACTGTGTCAACCCAAAGAGAATGAATCCAGTCATGCTATTGTTATACACCATATCAGTGGCTATAGTAGGTGGCTGACAAATGTTTAACCTGCAAAGAAAGAAAAAAAATGTCATAGTGGGATCAGTGTTCAGACCTTTAAGTTTCTTGGCACTATCCCATTCTTTTAGTCTTACTTGATTTTGTCATGAAACCCCTGAAGAATCTTTTCAATTTTCAACATAGATACCTATGTCTCAATGAGACTTTCTCTGAAAATTACTGAACTAGATCAAAACTTCTGAAATTTAAGGAATGAAAAATATGAATGCTGTTCAAATATTTTGATCCTGTTGATATTCCAAAGTGTAGAATTTGAAAAAGTGATTTAGTGATTTGGAAATTTAGGAGAAAATATTTGAGTTTGTTGGATGCATTGGGAATATATGAGCACAGATACTTAACCATTCTGAGTGCTTTGAAGAAATGAGCATTTTATCCATGCAAATATGTGTACACATATACATAGACACATACATATATACATACATGCATACATACATACATACATATACTTACATAATACATATATATATACATAGAGATCCCATTGCCCAATCTTTCCTTGTGCTCCATAATATGAAAGGCACTATTTAATGCAATGAACCACTAAGATTCGTGATTCCGTTAAAACAAAAATCTCAACTCAATTTACTGAGCTTTGTTTTTATTAGCCCTGTCTCCTTTAGCTCCTGAATAATTTATCCTATGAAAAAATTTAATCCATTTCTACAGTCCCCTCTGGTCCCAGGTTTTTTGTTGTTGTTGTTGTTTCTTGTTTTTTTTTGTTTTTTTTTGGCTTTGTTGGTCTCCTTGTGTGGCTCCTGTCCCCTCCAGGTCCTTTTATATCCCCTTTCTTCTATAGGACTACCTGTGCTCTGTCCAAAGTTTGGCTGTGTGTCTCTGTATCTGCTTAGATTCCCATGCTGGGTGGTCTTTAAGAGGACATTTATTGTAGGCTCCCATTCTGATCTCTCTCTTCTGTGGCTTCTGGTGTCTATCCTGTTTTCCATTCTGAATGAGAATTAAGGGTCCTTCTTAAGGTCCTCCTTGTTTAGCTTCTTTAGGTCTGTAAGTTTTAGTATATTTAGCATATACTATGTGGCTTATCAACTTAGAGTGGATATACCATGTGTGTCTTTCTGCTTCTGGGATACTTCAGAATGATCTTTTCTAGTTCCCACCATTTGCTCCAAATTTCATGTTTTCCTTGTTTCTAATAGCTGAGTAGTAGTCCATTGTGTAAATGTACAATAATTTCTGTATCCATTCTTAGGTTGATTGAATCTAGGTTTTTTTCCTAGCTTCTGGCTATTAAGAATAAATCTGATATAAAAATATTTGTGCAGACCATGCATAGAGAGGAGCTAGACCCCCTTCTCAGATGTAGTCCATAGACAGCTCAGTCTCCATGTGGGTCCACTAGTAAGGGGAAAAGAGACAGTCTCTGAAAATAACTCAGTGGCTTGCTCCTTGATCAGTTCTCCCTGATGGGATGAACTAGCCAGAACTAGTTCTGAACTAGAGGAAGACAATCCAGGTAGTCCTGATGGGTCTTGATAGGCTATGGTCAGACAGTAGGGGAGGAGGACTTACCCTATCAGTGGACAAGGAAAGAGGGATAGAGGAGGAAGAGGAAGGGAGGTTGTGATCAGGTTAGGTGAGATACTGGATACAAAGTGAATAAATTATAAATGATAATAATAATAATAAAATTTATGCAGACAATTATTTTTTTCAAATAAAAAATAAATACTTCCATTCTTCAAATAGATGCTCCTTAATCCATTGAAAAAAATTTAATCCTATTCTAATAGTATATCTTGTATTCAATACACCACTTTACTGTGGCAATAATAAAATAAGGGTTTGAACGGTACTTTGATACTTTAAGGTTGTTATAATCAAAGAAAAGTATGCTATAATATTTTATTACACTTAGGTTAATTCCATTTGAAAAGTAAATTTTTACCCATGATTTTAAACTTTTATTAAATATTTTGATTTTTTAAACATGAAAAATGTTCTTTAGAATAATGTGTCCATATATTTTTATCTTCTGAATTATTCACTTTTTCAATATTATGTGAAAAACTTCTTTGTTGCAATGTTAGCTTCCATACTTTTTAGTTGCATATTCAAATATTTGTATCTTAGAGATTGAAAATAGTCCTCAATGTAATTTTATTGCATCAATTTTACTTGGAAGTTCTATAAAATCATTATCATATTTTAATGGATATTTTTCACTTATACTTAATGTGTGTTTCTCTCTCTCACTCGCGTGTGTGTTTTCATGTGCACTCATACAATCTCACTATGTGAAGGACAGAGGAGCTGATTCTTGCCTACCACCATATGGTTGCAGGGGATGTATCTCAGGTTGTTAGGCATAGCAGCACTCTTTACCTGATAATCCACAGCACTGCCCACATGTTTTTATACTTTACAATAATTAGCAATTTAAATTTAACAGTGTAATGACATATTCTTTGGAGACAATTATACTGTATGTAGTTTTATTTTATAAACAATAATTTTATAAAACATAACAATTTCTGAAGGGCAAATAACTTTACCTGATGCTAAGGGAAATATTATTATTGATATTTAACCTACAAAGAAAATTGCATAGTGGGATCCGCTAATACTGGGAAATATTAGCTGTTTTTTCAATAGTATATATAGCTTTGTTAACTTTTAACTTTTTAATTTTCAAATTTCTCCATTTATTTTATTCCTATATAGTATGATATAACACTCATTCTTTAGTCTTAGACACTTATCTTGGTTTTCAAAGGGTCTATAAAATTTATCGGGGTTTGTTGCAAGGAGCAGATAAGCCCACCCCTCAAAACATTATTGTTCTATTTATATGTTTGTTCAGTCCTATTTATATTTATTAGTTTTTATTTGTATATTATTATCATTATTATTTCTTTTAGATGCCTATTTGTTGACTAAGGAAAGACAGAAAGAAAGTGTACACATTTGGGTGAATAAGGAGGTAGAGACAATCTGAGAAGCGTTAGGGGTGACAAAAGTAACCAGAATATACTACGTTAAAAAAAATTCAAGAAAAAAGATAAATTTAAATCAGGTAGTTAAATATATAAGGAACTACGTGGTTAGCATTAGAACAGAAGTCATCTTCAGATTTCAAAGAACAATTTCAAAGTGATAGAATGCTCAGAGAAGGACTTGAATTTACTTATAGAGATGAACTAAATCCTCAAATGACAGACGCCAGTTACCAACCAGATTCTCAGTGTTACCAATGAGGCTGAGTGAGCAGAGAGTGCAACCCTGATGAGCACACTCAAACACCTTTTCTCTGCCCACCAAGGATATAAAACCTGAGCACCACAATATCTACATGTAATTGTATGAAATTCAATAACCTCTTCATTGGGTTGCTATAAGCTTTAGTTGACTCAATAGAGAAAAGTTATGTAGAACTATGGCTATATTCTCTGGTTTGTTGACTTTTATTACTGGCTCTTCAATCTCAGCCTTCCCTTTCATGTATTTCAATTTGTTTATTTTCTCAAATTTTACATTGTTTCAAATCCAAATTTTCTTTGTAACATGGCTGAAATAGTATCATCCTTAATGATTTAAAAACTTTTATGTGATAACCACAAGATAGAAAAGACTTTTGAAGTTTTTACTAACTACTTAAACACAAAGAGCAAAATTACATTGCATCTCGAAAACAGAATCTCTGTATTGAAGGGAAAATCGTAACAGAATGGCTGGGATTGTGTAGATCCCAGTGATATTAAAATCAGAGAAAAGTCATGATTTTGGATGAAAGAAATGAAATCACATTTTAAAGGAAGTGAGGAATAAAATACATTTCCAGGCAAATAAATCAATACAACCGACCCCTGTGTAGCAGACTCCAAAAAACAGTAGAGATGTAAGTGGTTTCCTGAAGAACTTCATGAAAACAAGGTGATAAATTTTGGCTGTTTTTTCATTATTAAATTATAAAATTGGAGAACACGAAATATAAGAACACTCGCTGTTAAAATCTTCATATGCAGCACCTGGTGAGTGGAGGGATAGGAGAGCTCTTTCTAACATGGGCTCTATTGCCTGCTTTTGGTCCATGTCCTCCGGGCATTCTTGCCTTGCCTGGCCTCAGGGAATGAGGATAAGTCCTGATGTGACTTGATGTGCTGGGGAAGGTTGATACAGGAAAGGGGGATCAGGGGTGCAGCTACCTTTTTCTTGGAGAAAAGAGAGAGGGAATGGGGGAAGGATGGAAAAGAAGGGACTGGGAAGAGAGGAGGGAGGGGACACCCTTGGGATGTTAAGTAAATAAACTAAAATTTTAAAAAAGAAAAAAAAAAAACAAAAAAGAAAAGATTTATTCACCAGGACTTGGTGAGATGCTCAGCAGGAAAAGGGGTCACCATCAAGCCTGAGGACCAGAATTTGATCCCTAGAATCTACATAATAGAAGGAGACAACTAATTTTGTAAGATGCCCTTTGACTTTCTTTCTTTTTTCTTTTTTAAAATTAAATTTTTATTTTTTGCATTAATTACATTTTATTTGCTTTGTATCCCAGCTCTAGCCGCTTCCCTCCTCCCCTCCCAATCCCACCTTCCTTCCCTCATCTTTTCCTATGCTTTTCTCCAAGTCCAAGGATAGGGGAGGTCCTCCTCCCCTCCCATCTGACCCTAGCTTAACAGGTCTCATCAGGACCAGCTGCAATGTCCTCCTCTGTGGCCTGGCAAGGCTACTCCTCCCTCAGGAGTGGTGGTCAAAGAGGCAGCCACTGAGTTCATGTCAGGGACAGTCCCTCCTGCCCTTACTAGGGAACCCACTTGGATACTGAGCTGCCATGGGCTACATCTGAGCAGGGTTTCTAGGCTATATCTATGAATGGACCTTGGTTGGAGTATCAGTCTCAGAAAATACCCCTGAGCCCAGATATTTTGGTTCTGTTGCTCAACTTGTGAGCTCAACTGTACTCTCCTGGTCTTACTAACTACCTATTCTT